TTATGTCACGATATTTGGCCTTCCAAAGGATAAAATAAATTAAGCATCTTCCTTCTGAACAGAATGATTGTCCAGAGATAACAACAACAATGCAATGCAAATATTGATTCAAGGAGAATGTGTTACACAAAATTTCTGGATTCTACATTCTGTCTTGAAACATTTTGGGACCCTTGTTCAGTTCAGAACAAAAGCATGTCATTTCAACAAAGCAATATATGAGTAATAATATGCAAAAGACTGACCTACTTCTTGAAAAACTTGTACAGAAAATTAAATCAACTGTTAAATTTTGCCAGAAGTGCCAATTGCTTTAAGTCAATGACATTATTTTTCAAATATTTTTATAATTTTTATTAAATACATGTGTCTAGAATTATGCAGAACAGCAGCATAAATAAAAGCAAAAACTATTTCTGGCTTAAAAAGGCTATACTTGATATTTTACAGATTAATATTGCATTACTTTTTTACATTGTTTGGTAGAAAAGATTTTACATGTCAAGTTTCTTATCTGCTTTACGAAACAGTGAAAAAATAAATTCAATCTGTATTCAATCCAAAGTAAGAACTCTGGAATACAACAGCTTTGGGAAGGGAAAGGTGCCTTATTACCTCTTGACAGAAGACCCATTCTCCTACTCGCTCTTGGGGCTCATAGTGACTAGAATGTCACTAGTTTTTGAATCTTTTGGACTGCATTTATATTAATGGATTAAATGTGCCTGGGAATGTTTCTGGGTGCTGAGGGTAAGCTGGCATGCTGATGCTGCAGCCTGCTGCCAGGATAGCAAATTCTTTAAACCTCCAAAATTTTGTGCAAAGGCTTTTTCACAGTGCTCAGGTTCTTTTGGGGAACACTGGAAAAACTCTGTAGTGTAAGTGATGGTATCCCAGTGCCTGGAGATGTTCCTTGTCACTCTGACTTCCTGGTATTGACATGATCTCATTGTGCAAGATCTCTGAAAGAATTACTGAACTGTAAGTTTTTATGCCTGAAGAATAATTATGTGAAACCTTTCCGAGGAAGAATTATACCTCCTATTTCCATCAAATCTACAAATATTTCCAACAGATGTTTCAGAGCAGGTAATTGTTTATGCTGTAGATTAAAGCACTAAGTTTCATTAGTGTTCATAAATGTTCATTGTTATTTTCAAAAAAGGCTAATAATTTACTGAAAGTGTAGTTAGAATGGATTTCTGCTCCTTGATACAGCAGCCACCATTTTAGTGGAATCAAAATGAAATAATCAAAGCAAGCATCAACATATTTGTCATCTTTAAATCTACAAGGCAATAGTGTAAATGGCCCCCCAAAATGGAGACTTTAGCAGAAACCTACACAAAGAGCACGTCATCCATTCAGATACTAGAGCATTTCTATATTTATTGTTAATGCACATTAAACTCTCCTTTCCATGGAGGGTAGCTTGGGATGTATGAGTATGTACTACAGTAATACTTATATTTTTAATTCCTCAGAATTAATTGCATTGCCTTACTGTTTTCACTTAGCAACATGCTAAATCTTATATAAATTCTTGAGTATAATAGAGAATGAAATGTTTTACTTGTCTAATATAATGAGCATACACTTTCCAGAAGAAAAACAGTTACTCTTCTTAAAGTAGATAGGGAAATGGACTAAGGGGTGTCTTCTCTTTGTCAGTCCACAGAGAGTTACAGCTAGCAGCTACTATGTTACTTCATGAAACAGATTCCAGCAAGATCAGAAAGTCCATTTATGTCCTGTTAACATTGGTTGCACTGGATTGTTACATCAATTACAAAAGCTCCCATTGGCTTTTTAAAGTCTCCCATATCTGTAGTCTTCATCATACAACATGCAATTTTTCCACCATAAGATCCTTGTCTTATTTGTTACACAGAATGGTAATCATTTAACAGGCATACATTAAGTGCTTCATTTTCTCTTTATTAAAGCAAGCCCAGACCTTATTTTCTGAAACAACAACAAAGATGTAGAACAAAAACAAGAAGCGTTTCAGAACAAGACTTAGGCTTAGGGCAGTCCTAGATCTTAAAAGTAGGACATGGGAGAGGAAGGTCATTTTAGCTTTGATGTTTTGTCAAATCCAATTCTAGACTAGTGCTCATAGTTCAGGTGACATTGTAGATGGTATAGAAAAAAACCACTAAACTGAGAGCTAGAGACAAACTCCTTCAGTACAGCCCTTACAGAACTCAATCACAGAGAAGGTTCAGCTTCCTGGGCAGAAAATCTAAAGTACGACAAACCCTTTAGCATAACGTGGAAAACCACAAATAAAAGAGGACCCAATGCCTGGAAGCTTCAGCCAGGCATGCCAAATTAGAATATGTATTTAATAATAAAGATGATTAACTACTGGAATAAACTACCAAGGGATTCTGTGGATCCTCTTGGTATCTTTTAATTAAGACTGCTCTTGTTTCTTAAGATGGATATAGTTGAAATCAAAGCTATAGGTCTCAATATAATGTTAACTAGGTGAAATGTGAAAGTAAGCAGTGTACAAGAAGTCCAAAGAAAAGAGTTAATGCTCTCCCTGACCTAAAAATGTACACAAATATTAAGTATAGCAGAGAGAGATCAGCTAATATTAACTTACTGGGTTGCTCATTTCATCTACCACCCGTGCCCCACCCCCTCTGATCAAAAAAAAAAAAATCAAGGATGGAGTTGATTTTTGAAAAGCAACCTATCATGAGAGATCAAAAATGCAGGAAAATAATGGGGGCAAGGAAGAAAGAGAGAGATGTATTATGGCACAGATCCAATACCCTTTGTGGCAAAAGAAAGGAGAGGAAGGACAGAAGAGTAATTTCACATAAAACTGGCAAGCTATCAGCCTCAAGGGCAGAGGCAGCAGTAATGCAGCAGCCTTACAGAGATTCTTCATAAGATGGGTGAGGTGCAAGACAGGGAGAAAAAGGCTGTGAGTTGCAGCATCAGACCTCCTCTTCAGGGTCTCCCCTTGAAGAACAAGAGGTGAACTCATCCACTTATGCACAAGGACATCATGTTTTTCCATTTTAAGAGAGCAAGTGCTTTCAGACTTCAGATCAAATACCACTCAAGTACAACCTCCAGCTGGTAACTACAGTTATCATTACACAGCAGCCAATCTGTGCTGAAATTCTTAAATGCAGAGAGGATTGAGTCCATGCAATTCGGAGCAATTTATTTGGTTGATTTTGTTACTGTGCCCTTATTAACAGTGTACGGGCAGCTAAGAAGTTTGAGGAATTTTTACTCCTTCCAAAATAGTTGCTAAATAATACCAATTAATAATGCTGAGTTGAAAACTCAGAGAGGACAGTGTTGCAAGTATTTGGTATGTGAACTTCAAACTGAGCTGGCAACATACAGCTCCTCTTCCTCAGAGGCCAGTTTCCAAGGAGAGGTGATACACAAGAAGTTGGTCTCTGACTGATTGAGCTTTTAGTAAACTGTGTCACTTCTCCCTGATTTTTCATCACTGTTCAATAACAAACGAAAACCATCTTTCAGCGTGGAGGCACATGGAAAATAAAGTGAGAATCTCTGAGCCTCTAAAACATGCCCTGCTGTGTACACAGTGAGACGGAGCTACAGGGAAACAAAATAGGAAAGATCATCCAGTACAAGCAGGGACATATTAGAGCTAAATAGCACTTGGAGGGCTTTCTTCACTGGATCCTAGTGCCCTCATGGCACTTTTTTCTATCCCTTTCTCATCCCAGACTCTACAGACTAAAGAAAGTGCTCCTTGCAGCATGCCAGTTTCCCTCCTGGCATACCAATGAGCATCAGGAGTCAGCTGACTGGTGCTCATTTGTTCCCCAGCACAAAACAGCACCTAGTGAAAGTGGAGCTCCTTAATACAGCCCCTGGGGAGAAAAGAAGGGGGAAGTTAGGATCAGTACAGGGTCTAGGGTACAGAGTCTATCTTTGTGCTGGAGGAAGTATTGCCTATGAGCAAAACAAAGGAGGCGAGAGTTCTGACTTAAGCTGGGTTTCCCCCTCTGCTATAACTCTAAGTAGGTCACTTCCTTTCTCTTTAGCACAGTTTCCTCATCTCTTTGGCAGAAGTTAGTGTCTGTACCAGAACTAAGATATGATCAGATAATAAGCATTAGAGCTTACAGAGCTCAGAGAAATGCTTGATGAGAGCTGTTTGAAACCAAAATCCACGCTAATCACCTTAACAAACCAGTAATACTGCTTGGATTTTGAATGATAGGTTTCAACTCCTGTATTCCCCCGCTCATTAGTTGAGAGAACTAAATGCAGCACTGGAAAGGATGTCTGGGTCACCGAGTTCGTACAACTCCTTCCATAAACAAACCAAGAACCATCTTCCAAATGTTACTCTTGTCTTGTCCAAGGGAGAAGCTGTTTCTGGTTTTGTACCAGAGTATTTGGAGTAATTTCATATCTCTGAATCTAGAATGCCTGAATCTGAGCAGAAATTATGCCAAGACTCTGCCTGGATTTACAAAATGTAGACCATATTCAACTTTGAAATGACAAGACCATCTCACAGTGACACGCTTGCACTTGTGATTTATAATGCAGTTATTCACAAACATATGAAAGGTATGCAGACACTGTTTGAGCTGACAGAAAACTATCCTTTGCTAGCTAAAGAAAAATGCAGGCAAATGTAAAGAAAATCATTAAATATGTGTCTGTGTTTTAGTTTCTTAATCAGCCTAAAATGTTCTTTGAGGCAAGATATCTGGGATCCTTTTCTACTAGCTGTTATGCTTATGAAAAAGCATCCTTTTCTTTGTGATATAAGTCCAATTGGTCTCAATTTGGCTAATATTGTAGCTAAATAAGCCTCCTGCTACAAAAACACATGCTGCTACTCTCCACACTTGGCAGCTTCAAAAGTCATGCCACATTCACTCAGTCTTTCTTGTTTGGAAGGCCAATACCAAATCACAGAAACATCGGCATTTTCACATCTTTGTTCTGAATTTTGCAATTCACCACTACGCAAATCTTACCTCTTTATGGAGCTGAAGCAACAAGGTTTTTTCCTAAGGTGAAAACATTGCTCTAACAATCAACATCCAAGAGGCTCAAGAGCCCAAGCATCAAAACAGGCTTGAAATAGCAGCATATTTCACTTCAAAGAAGTAGCTGAAGTAAATGAGGTATAAATGATCAGTCAGAGTATACACAGACTCAAAGAAACAAAGTCTACAACAACACCTGGATCATTGGGGATCCCAACCAGTCACAGACATAGCTGTAACAAAGTTGAAACACAAACTGATGCCACTGTGCTGAGCTGAAATGAGACTCCTGGGCGCAGGAGCCAGGGTGTGGGGGACACCCCAGCTGAGGCTGGTCATGGCCATTAAAGCCTAGTAGTGCCTCAGCGGCCCTGACAAATGAGTCAGGCTTTCTTTGAAAGCACAGCAGTGACACCCTCCAGAGCACTGTGTGGCTATTAGAGAGAAATCCTACCAGCAGGAGTCAGAAGCTGCCATTAAATGCAAGTTTCTGCCTATAGAGATGGCCATAGTGGAGAGATGGGGCAACACCAAGGTTGCCAAAAAAATTACATGGCAGTTAAGAGGTAAAGGGAAATCTGTGTTCAGGGACACATCACTAGCAGAGCAGTGCTACCTCTTTTAAATATTTTTTTTCTTTTCTTTTCCATGCAATGGCCAGATACAGGTACTCTCCAGAACCTGAACCATCAGTAGTAATCAGACAAATAAAAACATGTTATGGGAGTGGACAGGAGAACTAGTGCTCCAGTTGTTCTCAACTATTTCATGGGCTGTGTAAAAGTAAGCCAATGTCTGGCTTGCTCAAAGTTTTTTCTCCCCACTCACCCAGTAATTTAAGAGAAGAACCTTTTGGAGGAAATAATTGAGCTGAAATACTGAATTCTCTCAGGCGCTCATCATTATGTGCAAATCTGCTTTATTAAGAAGACTGGATGTTCTGGTGAACTGAGTAGGTTGAACACAGTTTGAATATGTGAGTTAGCGCTCAGTTTGTCCCCAGATCATCCACCCCCTGCATCCTGCCTTGGCAGAGTCCTGCTTCCATTGCCCTGTGGGCCCAGACAGCCACTCTCTCCTTGAGCCAGCCCTCACAATGCCAGTCATTATACACACACACACAGAATAGGGTCTTTCGCCAATGCCATTTCTGCCCAGCTGCCATGCCAGTTTTCTCTCCCCAGCCCAAAGGTGGCAGGACAGTGCCTTTGGGAGGGGTTGCGTGGTCCAGGCATTTGGAAGAGGAATGGCCACTTTACAGGCCTCATGTGCTTCAGAGCTGCAATTGCAGGCCTGGAGACAACACAAGGTGCAACACCGTGACAGCTTTTTCTACAGAGGGACCTCTCAACTTCTGTCACACTGATAGTGGAGTCAACCCATCTGAAACCACTCCAACCTTAAGTGGTACATGAATCTCCTCAACTCCCTTTTCTCTCATCTGGGAAGGGCTTCTGGTTTTACCTTACTAATTACTTCTTCCCCCGCCCCTACATTGTATAATGAACCCTTTCTACCCAATGCCTCAGCACACATTCTGAAAATTTGTCACATTTCCTTCAGTCATAGTAGGTAGGGGATATGTAGAAATATTAGATTGAAAGGTACTTTAACAGGAATGAAATTGGATACAAGTTTGAGACCTTTCCCTCTGAAAGCTCATTGTGATACATGAGATAGGAGCCCCTTGTGATTCGTGGAAAATGCAGAATTCAGAAAAAAAATTAAGTTTGTGCAGCAGTAGACCAAGCTACTAATTTTTTCCTAAACACAGAATAGTCAGCCACCTCCTCCAGTCATTTTTCACCAGAAAGAAACGTAGACAGTGACACTCACAACAACCATGAGCCTCTGAAAGTGGCCTAAGAACCAAGTAAACTGTAGGGACTTGTAGATTTCACCAAACAAAGGCAGCTTGTCCTGATGAAGGATTGCTTGTACTTAGCCATCCTAAAGACCTTAATCTTATATAGTTTGATCTGCTCAGGGGATAAACAGAACCAGTATGCTTGCACAGCTGAGTTAATCTCTTTATGCACTGGGATTTGTTATGACTGTCATTCACCTCTAAGACTTGTTACTCCCATGCACACATATGGCAGTGGGGTGGGAAGGCTGACAACTATTCCCTCTCAGGGCAGTCACTGAGTTTCCACTGGGCTGCAGTGAACATGTAACACTGACCTGTCTTGAGGAAATTCTTCTCATCCAGTATAAGGCAGAAGACCTCTAGCCCAAGGTCTGTTTCAGCTCTACAGCTTTCTGCTATTTTCCTGACTACTTTCTCCACCATCAGCCTGGCTGGCTGTAACTCAGGCTCGTCCATTCTCATCCACACTTGGAAAGCAGACACCAGGGAAAGCAGTCGGTGTCCTTGGTGTTGTATAAGCAAACTGTGAGAAGGTCCAGAGGAAAGCAAGACTAAGTGCTGTGGTGAAAAAACGCAGTCAGGCTGCTCCAGAGGTGGCTGGCCCTGATCAGTACAGGCACTTGCCGGGCCAAAGCCCTTGGCCAGGAGATGAGTATGCTCCCCACAAGCAGGCCTTACAAATAACACTGGTGAAGCAGAGTTAATGATTCCTGCCGAGGAAATGCCTGGGCTCTGGGATGCTGAAGGCATCACCACAGGTGAGCTGCAGTCCCCAGAGCTGCCCTCACTGTCCCAGCTGCCGGGGAAGCTGTTTTCCAGGCAGACTTGGAGCCACGGATGACCACCGTTCTCACAGTCCGTGAAGGTTCTTGCATCCCGGGCAGTGCTGGAGGCGCAGTCCACGGCTTCAGGTCCCACAATATATCTCCCAGGGCTAGAACCTGCAGGTGGTGCAGACATCTGCAGGTGGTGCCGTGTCTCGTGGGTCTCCGCCTCTTGGAGAGGATAGAGGCGCTCACAGCGCCCGCTCCCCGTCACAGCCCAGCAGCCCAGCAGCCCAGCAACCGGAGCGGCGCTGGGCGGCAGCACTATCCCTTCTGGCGTTCGAGGGCGGG